CCCTATAAGCCAGACAATGACAAACGCCACTCGACGATGCTCTCTCTCGGTACACACGGCTCGGCTCTAGCGCGCGTTCCAGTTAGTATATATTTCAGTGATCTCAAGCTTAGTAAAACTTTTCCTCCAGTTGGCCAAATTTCAATCTGATCTCAATCTCAATCCGTAGTCCGATACGGGCCCGGCTCTAAAGCCGGGCTCTAAAGCCGGGCCTAAAGCCCGTGTCACACTACGTATTGTGGATCACGGATCGGATTGAAATTGCGGATCGCGGAGCGCAATTCAACCAATCGGATACGAGGCTGTCTCGTCTGATTGGCTGAAATGCGATCCGCGACCCTCAATCTCAATCCGATTCGCGATCAGCAATGCGTAGTGTGACACGGGCTTAAGCCGATGACCATTAATTGTTCGCACAGAGCACGACACTAGACACAGCACACGATACTCGCACAGAGCGTGCGACACTCGCGAGAGGCACAGCTACGGCGAGCAGCCAGCACCGAGGCAGAACGCAGACTGATTCTCCGTTTACCCGTGACATGACGTGGCTGGTACGGCGTGTTTTTCGTTGTACGTTCGTCTAAATTATTTCGACGGTTTTTTTGTCAGACCCGCGCGCGCGTCGCTCGGCAGTTGTTTACGCCGAGCCGCCGAGCCGCCGAGCCGCCGAGCCGCCCCGCCGTCGAGGTCAGCGAACGTCTGTGTGTCGCATTGTCATTCGAACCGCCGGTGCGAATGCCACGAGACAGTGCGCGCGATCGTTCTCCGCGTAATAAACGACGCCACGACTAACCGATCGAGCTTCTCGACTCCGCGGGACGTCGTCTTTGCTTTTCGGAGTGTTTATTTTACTCGAGATACGGGAAGCGGACCGCCGAGTCGCCGTCTACCGTACGCGCTCGCTGTTTTTTCGACCGAAGTTGAAACCGTGGGGGAGAACCGTGAGTGTCGATTTCTCGTCAACGCGTTAATTTGCGCGCGTGTTTGACCGAACGGTATCGCGAAACGAGAAGTGACGTACAGTCGTCGTCGTCGCGCGTTGATTCGACTCGTGTAGTATCGCGCAGTGCCGCCGGGAAGCGACGCCATGTTAGTCCGTCAAAGGAGCCAGCCCCGCGGACACGCAGTGGATCGTTCTCCGGCGCCGACGGTCACAACGACGTATTTCGCGACAGTGCGACAGAGTTGCGGTGAGTTTGAGGCCGCTCAAGTATAGCGATCGCGGCGTAGGTTCGATACTCGTGCGTCGACGATCCACCGGGACGCGTATCTCGCGAGGAGCCGGAATCTTTTGCGCCGTCGCCGTTGCGCCGCGGCCGTCGTATCCTTGCGCGACGCGAAAACTGTACCGGGCTCCAATTTCACTTGGTGTCTCCTCGCGCGTGATGCGCGAAATCGCTCCGTTTACGCCCGCATTCGGTCCCTTTCCCGGGGAAACGCGCGAGGTTAGCCCCGCGGGTCTCCGAGCCCTCGTCGCCGGTACGTTCCCGCCAATTTGCGCGACGCCATCGATCGTATTTCCGCGATCGCGTCTCTTTTGCTGTTGTTGTACGAGTCCGCGACGAATAACGTCGGGAGTGACGTGTCGCGCGTTAAGCTGGTGGCAGAGAACGAAGGCACGCACCACGGCGGTGAGTCTGATCAGGTCGCGTCGATTCGATACCCGCGCGTCGACGAGCCACCGCGACGCGTATCTCGCGGGGAGCCGCGGGATCTCTTGCACCGTCGCCGTCGCGCCGCGAATATACCGAGCTTCAACTTCAGTTCGCGTCGAATTTCACGCGTGACGCGCGGCGAGAGAAACGTACGCG